AAATCCATGGTAATAACTTCCCATGCATGATTAGGAATATCAGTAGGTTGTAATAACTCTGGTATTACCACATTCTCCCCTTTAGTTCTTTGGAAAACTTCACAATTCTTCACATAAGTCTTCACCTGGTTTTTTAAACCTTTCCAATAAAAGTAAGGTTTAATTATCTGATATGTGGCTTGTACTCCAGAATGACCTCCTTGAGGGGAATCATGCAAGCATTCTAATATTTTCTTTCTTAAATTTCCATGTTCCCCAATATAGACTCTCTTCTTATACCTTAGCACCCCTTTAACTAACTTCCAATCAGACTCTATATTAGAGTCAATGATTGAACCTGTAATAAATTTGTGAGCTAAAGTATCTCCTTGATAACTATCTTCAATTTCTTTCACCCACTCAGGAATCAGTACAGTAATCATCTGCAGACACTCTCCCTTTTCTTCAACTTTTCCAACCTCCTTTTCTTCTTCAATTCTTCTGCATAAGGCATCTGTCACTACATTCAATCTGTCCTTTCTATATTGTATAACATAATCCAAACCCAACAATTTGGATAATCCCCTTTTTTGAATGGTAGTGGTTAACTTCTGCTCCAACAAATGTTTCAAAGGTTCATGGTCTGTTTTGATTATAAAAAGACCATTTTCTAAATAGTGTTTTCATTTAGATATAGCCATAAGTATAGTTATATACTCTTTTTCATAAATAGACAATTCCATATGCCTTGGTCCCAAAGCCTTACTCAAATAGGCTAATGGTCTTCCCTCCTGTGTCAAAATAATCCCTATTCCTTGTTGACTGGCATCAGTCTCCAAACAAAATGTTTTGTTAAAATTTGGAAGAGCCAATACATGAGTTTCACACATAGCTTGCTTCAATTTCATAAAAGCTTTTTCTGCTTCAATTTCATAAAAGCTTTTTCTGCTTCATCATCCCAATTAAAAGCTCTTTTTTTTCAGTAAATTTTTCAGTGGTTTACTGAGTTCCCCATACCCCTTAATAAACTTCCTATAGTATCCTGTAAGTCCTAGGAAGCCTCTCAAAGATTTAAGATTCTTTGGAACTGGCCATTTTTTCATTGCCTCCACCTTGGTAGGGTCAGTAGAAATTTCTTCTGTTGATATTACATACCCCAAATACTCCACTCTGTTCTGTCTAACAAACACTTACTTCTTTTTGAATTGATTTGTCCTCAAGATTTCCAAGACCACCCTCAAGTGTTGCTTGTGAGCTAAAAGATTAGGACTATATACCAAAATATCATCAAAAATACCAACACAAACTTCCTCAAATATGGACCAAATAATTCATTCATTAATGCTTGAAAAGTGGCAAGTGCATTTGTTAAACCAAATGGCATTACCTTGAACTCATAGTGCCCATGACGTGTTCTGAATGTTGTTTTTGGAATGTCCTCTTCTTTAACTCTGATTTTCCAATATCCTGATCTCAAATCAATCTTAGAAAAATAGGAAGCTTTTGCCAACTCATCCAACAAGTCTTCTACCACTGGAATTGGAAATTTGTTCTTAACTGTCAAATATATTGCTGCTATTTCCATTTTCTGTTCATCAGGAATTGCAAAAATGGTAAAATACTTTTGGCATTTTTTGACCCAACTCCTTGGGTTATCACCATCAAACATCTATAATTCTATCTTAGGTCTTAGGGTAAAGGACTGATTTGGTACATTTTTCTCATACAAATAGGGATATTTAGAGAGTGAAGTACTTCCAGATTGATGATTATTCCCTCCTAAGTTCAATTTCTGGTTTTGTGTTAGGGGAATATATTATTTGTAGCCTTCTAGTTTAGGAGCTAATACTCCAGGACCTTCAAGATAAAAAGAATATTTCTCATGCTCATTTATCACTGTCACTTGCGTAGGCTTTTTTCCTTCAGATTTAGGTAAAGATGCAAAAATTACCTGGTCATTATTTTCAGGAGTATTCTACTCAGGTTCTTCACTCACCTTAGACACACAGCTCAATATCTTCTGCAAATATCCTTGGGTCTCATCCATCCTGCTCTCCATCATCTTCATTCTGTTTTCTCATTCTTCTTTTTGTTCTTCCCACCCTCTAAGAACTCGAGCTTCATTTCCAGTCTCCTCATTACTGCTTGATATGGCTGCTGATTCCACTTTATCACCCACCTTATCACCCATCTGTTGGATTTTCTTCTGCTTACCCAGCTTGACGTTGGATCTTTCCTAAGCTCTGATTACCAATTGTTATGAACCTTAGTGAATTCAAGAAAGAATTTAGGGATTTAGAGAAATTTAGAAGAATATATTTAATAGAATATATTTAATAGAAAAGATGAATTTTTCATTAATTGTCAGAATAGATTATTTTTCAATACACTATTTCATTATATTCATTCAGTACAAACAAATCTAACAGAATTTATTATGTACAACTGGCAGTCAACTGATTCCAACAATCCTTCACGTGTTGGGCTGTTCATCAGCAAGCCCAAACTGGTGGCTCCTTTCTAAGCAGACCAGTTCCATAATCGATCCAACCCGGACTCTTGTTGGGTTCTCAACGCGGGTCTCCTGCTCCAAGTTAAGAGATTGCTTCTTCTGCTCCAGGTATTTTTATTTCCCCCAATTCCTCACTCGAAATCCCTAATCCATGGACAGAAATCCCTAACATTTTCCCTTTCTCTGCCATGTTCATAACAGGTTTCCGGACTCTATACTCCATCTCATCGCCTTCCGTCTCTAGTTCGCCCACGAACATTCCTTCTGGTACTATTCTATTCTTTTGGATCATTATTTTATTACCCATTTCTCGTTCTTCATTATCTTGGTAATCCCTGTGTTTATCTACTTAGATTTAGTATTTTCTAATAATGTTGTAGCTCGTGGCCGACTGTTCTTCATGGGATTTCAAAATTGTATCCTTTTGGTTGTTTACCTCTGCAAGTTTTGCACTTTTCCGTTCAAAAATTCGAATTTTCTGATAGGGGTGCGAACTTATTGTGTGGAATTATAAAATTTTAGGGATAGGAAATATATTATCAGTAGAAAATTCCTAAGGGAATTTGAAATTTCAAGGGGGTGCTGCATGATTGCATCCCCTAGCACCCCACGCTGTCCATCCCTAATTGTGTAGCATCTTGTAACTCATAATGATATCGATTTGTATCAAATTCCAAACATTTTATTATGAGGGAAAATATGCAGGTGCCAGGTCATCCTTCGGGTTGAGATTGGGAAGCTTGCGCTATTTTGGTGATGATGTATCTCATATGCTTGTCATAAAAGATGATGAGATTCTGAATGTTTTTAAGGATTTAATGGCTGCAAGTTAGGATGAGCTTCCGTATTCAGAGGTACAGGACGCAGATAAAGCCCTATCCAAAAACATGGATGACAAAGCCGGCGAGGCTGCTTTGAAAAAAGTCTTCCGTGCTGCTGAAGCCATTGAAGAATTTGGTGGTATTCTAATCGGCATGAAAATGGAACTTGATGACAGCATTGGAATGAGTGGAGAGGTATTATTATAGTCTATAAGACCCTGATGATTTTCTTCTCTCTGTCTTTACTATTACCAACTGTTGGCATTTGATGAAATGAGTCTTTTTTTTCTTTTTACTGTAGAATGTGAAACCTTTGTCAAGTGATTTTTCAGCTGCACTTAAGACAGTTTTTCAAAAATATGCAACTTACTTGGATGCATGCATTTGGTCCAGATGAAACCTACATGAAAAAGAAGGTAGAGACAGAGTTGGGATCAAAGATGATCTACCTAAAGATGAGATGTGGTCACCTTGGTGCTGAGTGGGGAAAGGTACCAAGAATATTTGCAACTAATTGTAAATTCACTTATGAGTTATGACTGAATGATCTATGTCGAGGGTGTATAACATGGTTCAATCATGCACTGCGTAGCATTTTCTTGTAGTTCATGTTTGTGAAACAAAAGATTTTTCATTAACCATAAGGTTCCAAATGGTGAATAAGATGTGAAAACAGCAAAGAAAGTCATCTCAGATTACGTTATAGGTACTACTTGCTATTTGTTCTTACCTGATGTTTACCATCCTAACCATCTGGTGTTCTGAAACACCAATCTGAACCTAGGCTAAAGGTTAACCTGTTTAGAGAATCCTTTGTCATACAAGAACTGTTTGATATCCATATTCATCCACCTAAACTTATAGGGTAAAACAAGGAGAGCTAATAGATGCTTTCACCATTCACTCTGTGTTCTTTGTTGCATTTATTAAATTTGTCAATTGTAGTCTTTCTTGCATGTGCAGCATGCATAAATGTCGATACCAATTTGCTTTTGAATTCCTACACAAATATTTTGGTTATTGTAAATAATGCAAATCTATTTGTGTAATATTTTCGGATGCTTTCATTGCAGATTACTGTTCTTCTGGACTTTCTGGATCTTATGTGGAGCAAAGAGCTAAGCACTAAAGTGTTTCAGAGAGTTCAAGTAAACCTTTTTTTCATCTTCCTTTTTTCTGTTTTAGATTATGTTTATGACTATTAGGAGACAGGTTGGTGTTCTCCTGGAAAACCCTAGGTTGGAGTTTGCTTGGCATCAAAATAAATGGCTTATGTTTGTCAACAATACAGTAAATCAAAATGTAAAATCATGTGTTTTTATGCTTCTTTTAATGGGAAAAATTTTCACCATGTTTCTTCTTCATTTGTTAGGATCTATAACTACAAAGTTGCTCATCGCGTTTACGGTACTTCTGATTCAATAAAAAGACTGGCTGTTTAATGGGCATGAAAGCATTATTATCTTATCCAAGTGTGAATATCTGATGTATTTCTAACATTTAAAAAATACATAAACTAAAATTGATCAATCTAAAATACAAGGCCTAAATACACAACTTATACACGATACAGTTATTAACTATAGAATTTGAGTAAAAAAAAGATAGTGAGACAAGGTAAATCCATGATTATCCTCGTTTTGACTGCTAGCTGGACTTATTAGGAGAAGAAGGCAAAACATCTCAAGTGAAGGGTGTAGCGGTAGATTTTGAGCTTAAATATACGGCGTCTTATCTAATCTGGTGCCTTTACGCCAAGACCAAGAATCTGAAGGAGATTTAGGCAAAGGTGGGAGCAACACAGCCTTCCTACATAACCCAAATGACCACCCTTCACAATGACGGAATTCCCTAATGATTGATCGTCTTCTAAAATCCTCCAAATCGAACTTCCAAATCTCCGGGAAATCTACCTTGTTTAAGCTTGAACAGCAGAAAAAGTTCGACTTGGCAGACATAAATACTTCTCTGCTTGCACCACTCGAACACAGTGAGAAACAACTCCCTACAGGAAAGAATTCATCGTCTTCATTATCATCGTCTCTTCTTTTGGCCTGCTTTGAGCTTATATAAAGCTCTTCCGTCGATGGAGATAACACCCATGAAAAGCTTTCCGCCATTAGACTTGGTCTTTTCTTCATCTTCTCTATTGCTCGACTTTGGATTTCCGAAACAACTACCTGAAAACAACATCACAGACAATGAGAACAAATGAAATGAACACTTATCTCGGCAATGGAATTCATATAGGAAGAAAATAAAAGAGTTGGTACTTCGGATTCATCTTCGATGTCACTCGTTGAGTATTCATTATCACGACCCGATATTGAAAGCCGTCCATTGAAACTATGGCAACGGGAAAATGCTTCCTTGAGAAATGAAGTCAGAAACAGGAACCTCTTAGAATGATGAGACCGCTCTTCTTGATAAAAGACACTCATGGTTGGAGAACTGTAAAAGTGGCAAATTGATCTCCAAGATACCAACTTTATATTATGCATATCCTTATACAACATTGATTGTTATAAGACTTGTTTTTTTTTTATGTTGAAGTTGACCTGATTGAACTGATAGTGGCCTTACAGCTTACTGATAATGGTCAACAATGAATTATTTAATCAACTGAAGTTACTGAATTAATAATCTTTAAAAAGCAAAAGCCATAAAAGTTAGGGAACCTGTTAATTATTAAAGGAAGAAAATAAACAATCTTGAACTGGAATCAAATCATGTTCGAAAAAGATAACGGAAGTAGCAAAAACACTAAACTTAAAAAGATGATATCTTTCGGATTCCGTATATCAGTTAGATAAAGAAAGAAAGATTCTTTGCTCCAACAACGAAGAAGGTTAAGCTAAGAACTGGGTTTATCGACGAGTTGTAGTAGAATCGAGATGCGGAACGATATTTTTCTACTTCCGTTTTGATCCCAATGACTATTTATGATCACCAATTAAACTCCTCTTAAATTTTTAATGATCCTCCTGCACTTCAAGTTATGAGCTACAAGTATTCATTCAAATTCAAGGAATTGAATTGTCCCCAACCACATGTTTGATTGTCTCAGTTTCTGGGATTGATTGGATTACGATATTGGGCAGTTCTGCTATACTACCTAAAATTTAAGATTTAAAAATGATGGAGATGAGACGAGATCGAGAATGAAAAAAAAAACAACATTTTAAGTTGAATTTAAAAAAGTTACAATGAAAGTATTAGAAAGAATTTTTATTTGAAGCAGTGAGAGGAACTTAATGGTGACAGTCGTGTAACAAACACATTTGGAGCTGTCGGAATCGTCGAAAAACAACAAAGGAAATTCTAAAAATCCGATGGCCTTTAGCAGCGATTTCCATTACGATTGGCATAATTTTACAGTTAGTGAGCAATTGGATCGCAACGGTTCTGATGGTGTCAATGGCAACGACCACAGACCGACAATGTACAATCGACGGTGAAGGAAATAATTTTTAATTTTTTTAATTTATAATATTAAGTGTTTGTTTTTAAAAAAAAATTTATAAACGCGATACATGCTAGATAACAGTTAAATTTAACGATGATTACGGTTCATGCACCTAAAAGTGTAACCTTAAACAACTATTTTTCGAGAAAATTTCTTTAATTATAATATATATATATATATATATATATTAAAAAAAAATCTTTAGACATCAAAAATCAATTTGAGACGTAATCTAACTGATATTTACTGATCATTGTATAGTAAGGCAGGCAACCGTTGTAGGCTAGAAATTAAACATACTTTCCTGTAACAATTAAATAATCTTTAAATAGTATGCGTTAATCTTGAGGATAATTCTGCAAAGCCAACAAAAGACAAAAGGTGTTAAAGAATTCTTTCACATTCATATACCCATACAGCAGATCAATGAGGATCGTTAGATCCATTTTTCACATTTATCAATGTATAAATTGAACAACAAACAATGCCTCACCCATGGGTCTCCCCATCTATCAATGCTGCCTGAGACCACCCAATAGACACATTTCGTGATACAAAAATAATTTCCAAAGCTTCCGGTTTTCCCCCCATGTTCCGAAACCAGAAAAACATTATATTGTGAAAAGCATACGCCTTTGTCAATCAAAAACATCAGTAGAACTCGAGTCTGATACATCTTGAATTGGCTGACCATTGTCGATGTCCGTCTAGTTGATCAAAATCCAGTCAACTGCTAGTAATACCTGATACCCAAGGAACCATAACAGGTGCCTTTGGGTGTGCGTCTCGATATGCTTCGGAATATCTGTCCTTAAAGTTCAGCCTGGGTTTCTCCGACTGCATATTAAGTTGCAGTCAGTGTGGAACGAGAATGCTAACTTAATGGATTCAAAAAGGGAACTTACGAATTTCAGCCAGCACTCCATGTGTTTGTCTTGGTATTTATCTGGGGAATAGCAACCAGTCTCTGATGGACAATAAACCCATAACTTGCATTTGTTTTCACCAGGCTTTGCATTTTTGGCCTGATCTAAGCAAGCCTGGCAGCAGTCAGCTGCACTTTCTTTGTGCTGGGTAAGACCCCATCTAACGGCCACACCATCATAATCGGTATGAAGTTCAGCATGGCATTCTCGTGGAAGGGGCCTCCCAGCTAAAATGTGTTCATCGTCTTCTGCAGTACGAAAGGGTTACACCTTAGTGATTGACATTTCTGGACAACAATTTTTCATCAACTCTTTGAAGAAGAGTTTACCAACTTCAAATCCATATTCCCAAATATTTATTTAAATGTCTGCTACGCTTCCCTAAATAGAGATGGGTTTGAACAACTACCTGTATCTTCCACACCCTCAGGCTTATCATCATGTTCTTGATTATTGATTTCAGTGGGAATCCAAAGGCCAATTTCTTCAGACAGCAACGACCAATTGGAATCCAAGGCTTTTACTAGCATCCCTACAAAAATGGTATGTCAGACTGATAAACTTAATATTCTACCAACAAGGACAAAGGGGAATACTTTTTTTTTGACCTAGGGTGCCTGAAGCTCTCGATTTTTTTAACCCCTATTTTTTGCACTCAAACTGAAAAGTTAAAACAATTAATAATCCCTCTAACTAAATTCTTTTTTCAATTAAACCCTTTGACCAATTTTGAATGTTAAATCATAATATTTTTTTTATTAAGTTATCATGGTCACCTGGCACACTGTTTTAGGCCACATGTTTTCTAAAGGAAAAATTCTAAAAGAATATTTTAAAATTACAAAATATAAAAAGTTATTAAATGCTACTAAAACTTGTTTCAAAACTCTATTTTTTTAAAAAAAATATGAAAATAGCCAAAAAAGTTATTTTCATTTTTCATAATTTTTAAACAAGTTTAATTAATTAAAATTCCTAAAAATATCACATGACAACACTGTATTGTGACATGCGGTGTAAGTGATTAAAAGAAATGTTAAAAGTTAATGATCAACCTTAGTTAAAGGAGTGTCGACGAAATTGTGGGCTATAATTGTTTAATTGATTTTTTTTTTTTTGAAAGTTTAAACTTTAACACCCTTTTTTTTATCTTAATGATGAACAAAAATAGCGAAATATGGCAGCTTCAGAGTACGAGTTACCTGCTTCCTCTTGCAAACGTGTTGAATTCAAGTCATCCTCTCCCAGGGCCAACTTTTTGGCTTCTTTTAGTTTCTCCTTCCGCCAGCTTTCAACCGCTTCTGTTAACCCCAATAAGAATAGTAGTAAATTATAATGAAAAAATCTACAAAAACAGTGCCACAAATGATTAGTTGTCCTCAAACATGAGACCTACATTATCGCTGATAAGTCAAACTCTTCTAACACACTGGAATTACTGCTATGATAACTCTTAACTAATGGCAGAAATTGGGAAGCTTTAGAGGAATTCAAAACAAATATAGGCTTAAAAGAATCTATCCAGTCCATAAAAGTAAAGATCTTAACATTTAGAGCTGATCAGCAACCAGCAGCAAAATATTGTCAACTAAAATAAAAACAAAAAATGGTTATAGTAAAAATGGTTCTGAAAATCTCAAAATAGCTACCAACTTTTAACTCAAATACACATTTGATTCGGGTAATGCCAAACCCAAGACACTTTTCATCATAAATCATAAATTGTAACGTGGCCTCATTAAGACTATCCTTGGGTGTAAACTAATTTTCTATCTATTTTACATTTGTGTAAACAGACAGAAACAGAGGTAATGCAAGAAACTCGGTCCTTTCAGCACCAAATAAAAGCAAACAAAAGGACAAGTACGAGTGGATCTCTAAAATCAGCATAAGTAACCATGTAAATATGTCCATGTCTCCATGACTTGTTACCCCGACAAGTGATGAAAATGTAATGCAGTTGTGTTCTTCAGTGTAAGGAGAACAGAGGGTATTTGGCTTCTAAGCAATTAGATGCATGGAACATCATTTAATCATAGAACCAGACCCAATTTATTTCATAAAGGAAAAAGTATCAGAAAAGAAGGGGAAAAAATAGGTAGCAAAACAAAAAAGCAGGATATGAGAAAAGGACCTTTAAACACTGATATCTTATATGTACTACACATTCTAATTTCTAATAAGAATTTAGTGATAGTCAGTTAGCCACCAACAAAAAACTTATTTTTCTTTAAAGTTATTGTCAGAAATATATCATAACCAATGATTTGAAACCTTTCTTCAATCAAGAATCACAATGTATAATGTACTTTCTCACCAATCAGAAAAAAGGAAAGAAAGAAGAGAATCTTATGACATAATCATTGGGCACCAAACCCTCTCCCTCTAGCTGAATTAAAAGCTATCAGTAAAGGCTTAGAGATTTTTTTATCTTCAGAATGGTGTTCGAAGGGTAGGCTGATTGTTGAGTTCGATTGTAAGTCAGCAATGGACTGGATTAATTCTCCTGCTTCAGCTCCTGTTTTCTTTTCAAATCTAGTAAAAGAAGTAGTGTCTGCTGTTCAGATAAGGAATGTATTCTAAGATTGATTCCTAGGGGTTGTAATTGTGAGGCAGATAAGTTAGCTAAGGAGGGGATTGGGTGATTGTTAGATTTACTTTTTCTGTTTTATGTAATTATAGGGAACAGTTGTTAAGCTGTTTTATTTAAGTCTTATTTAATATGTTTTATTCAATAATATTTTGAGGTACTCTTTTCCTCCTTCTGCTAGTCGGTTCTTTCCTTACGGAATAGGACTACTATGAGGGAGGTTTTTAATGAGGCCTCCTACTTCTATCAAAAAAAAAAAAAATCATTGGGCACCAAAGAATAATTTAGCAATTCTTCTTAATGCAATCAATCAATTAACCACAAAACTCTGCAAACTATGACTAATTGGCTAGCTAAATTCAAATAGGTTATGAAAGAATTGATCTATCCCATTAATTGCTATGTAATGAATATGAAGCATATACACCTTTGGACTATTGGGTTGGTTGACATTAGATTAATAGGATTAGGAACCTTGGAAATATGAAAGAACAGAAGAGAAAGCATAACATGTGAAACCTAACAGAAATTAAATGGCATGAACTCGAAAGCCTAC